GAAGAAGCTCGTGAAATAGGAATAAATGGTTTTGAACTAGTAAGATCATAGTTACTTTACTTAAACTGTGAGGGAAATGTCACAATGGCAGCAGCTTTATACATTGGTATACTCAGCTGTTTACACCCTCGGGTGTCTCTATTTTTTAATATCATAATCCTTCTGTTTACTTTTCTTCCCCTCTGTTTCCAGGAACTCCCTCCTTATTCCGCTGCTCACACATTGTCTAAAAGTCTCCCGCTTTTTCCTTTTCAATGTCTCCACACAACACGTGACGACAAGATTAGTCATTGCACAGTGTAGAGATGCTCCATTACTGATTATCTGTTTTAGCAAGTAGTATTTATAACAGTCGGAGTGAAAAGCACCACTCACGTGTACTTAAGTACACTACTTGAGTAAATGTACTTTAAAAAAACAGAGTATTAGCATTCAAAGGAATTGTTCAACATTTTGGGAAGTACATTTATTCACTTCTTCTCATCTAACCTTTGACAAGTAAGAGAACTAAGTGTATTTCCCAAAATATCACATTTGTTCTTTAGATGTATCAACTCTAAAATATACTGGAATCAGTCTTGAGAATATCCGCCTGGTACTCAGTTACTGTCCAACACTGGATTCAATGTAGTTCTTTCCAGTTATGTGTTTAATAATAATCTTGAATTTTAGATTACTAACATAATGCGTCGTCACACAAATATATGTGAAATTATATCTTCAGATCATATTATGAGTTCAAAGATGATCACATAAATACATTGATCGATCGATCATACACGCTCTATATCACATATTGATCTCTTTTCGGAATGAACCTTTAATGTCAGTGTGTCTAGTGCTCGGCTCATCATGTGATTGTTGCTCACTTCAGTGTGGAGTGCACAGAGCCAGAGAGATGTGTACGAGGACTCAATGTTACGCAGCCCAACAATCAAACAAAGCTCACATTCAGCTGAGTCTGTGTCTGTTCACGGTACTTCACCGCTTGTGTCTTCAGTGGAGGAGCCAAAAGGCCCGACTGTCTTTTAATGTGCTGCACAAACAAGCTCTAAAAAAAAGTATTTCTTAATTCACTCCATACGTCAAATGTTTATCTAACTACCGTTCTCTGCCTGCTGTTCTTCTGAAGCCCCTTCCCTCTGTTCTGTTGTTATAGCTCCGTCAAGGAATGTCTTCATGTATGTAGATTAATATTTGTTCAGGAGGTGTGGTGACATGTTTGTTTGATCAAATTTTTAAGGGTTTTCATCTCAAGAATGTGAAGTAGCCTATGAGTTCTCCAAACGAAAAAGTTTATTTTCTTCTTTCTTGATTATTATCCCAAACTGAGATGTTACAGGAGCATCAATACATGATGAGGCTGCCAGCTCGCATGAAGCCTCTGCAGCTGAAATGGTGAGAAGCTACCCTCTTGTGGTGTGTTTGAGTGCTGACCAGCTACTTTCAACTTAATTAAAGATGTAAAAGGGTGATGTCATCCAAAATGTCATGTTTTGTCATGAGAATAAGATCATGATAAAATACTAATTTAAAATATAGTAAAATTAGATCAACTAAATAAGCATTTATTACATTGTTATAAAATACAAATACACAAAGTACAGCACTGCAGTGATAAGTTGCAACAAATATAATAAAAGGAACTAAAAGTGCAGAAGATGAATTGAGAAATGAATGTGTCGCCTGTTAAATCTGACCTGGAAGTGAAGGGTCATCCTGTTCTACTTTCAAAATAAAAACTGGGTCGGTGACAATTTTAACCACCAGATAGGGACAAAGAGCAGTATTTGTTATCTTAAAAAAAAATCAAAATGACTTAGGGTAAGGTGATCAGTTGTATCAGAATTTGTTTTCAGCATTCTCCACATACTTCCATATAAAACCATCTGCATTACAAGAGCATGATGCAGATTGTTGGTCGCATCAGTGTTAGTTGTGTTGTTCAGGCTCTATGTGCTTTCCTCTGACTCATACTGACTCACTGTCTATATATGACGTGCTGATCACCTCTTGAAAATAAAGAGGCTTACGTATCAGGATCAGCATCTGTGTCTCTATTACAGTAAAAAAAGGGACATCTGCAGCATCACATGAAATCACTGTTGATAACAGAAATAATGGATTCACTAATAATGGAGGGAGATATCTATTAAATCACAATTGCATATGTGGTAAGCAATAATATCATAGTAAAGTGTGATTCCAATTATCGCAGAGAGCCTCATGCTCGATCTTAGTGCCACTAATATAAATCTAACAACCTATTTAACTCACCCCATACTTTAAAATTGAATTTTAAAGGAACGGTTTGCCATTTGGATGAACATGCTTATTTGCTTTCTCGCCGATGGTCAGATACATTCAGCAGCTTAGCTTAGCATAAAGACTGCAAAAGGAGCTAGCCTGGCTCTGTCCAAAGGTAGCAAAATAGACCAATGAGCACCTCTCAAACTTACAATTTAACAAGTTTTATCTTGCTTGTTTAGTCTATACAAAAACTAAAGTGCAAAAATGACAATAAGCTACCATCACTCTTAATGCTAAGCTAAGCTAACCAACTGCTGGCTCCATCTTCATAATATAAATAAATAAACATCTGCCAATATCAAATTATTCTCAAAATAAAATGCACTTTCTGATTGGTTTGAATGTTCTCTACATTTATGTATAATTCACATTCACATTTATTTATTTATACTATTCTTGCATTCTAACACACTTAATCATCATGTTATATATTGTAGTATACATATTGCACATGTATTTTATTTCCAAATTCGATAATTCATTGTTGTTATATATATTTCTTATAACTTCTCTATGTTTATATACATTTCTATTCTAAACAGGGTGCAACCAATTTCTTCCCGCGAATCAATGGATCATTTCTGATTTCTTCATGTCACCTTTTCTGACATAAAACAATGAATTCATCAATGTTCAGGCAGCTATTGCAACACAGTTGAGAGTCAGTTTTCTTGGGTTTTTCTTTAAATGACACACACCCGTCTTGTAATCCATTGTGGGCTATACAAACACAAACACAAACACCTGGTGTGACCCTGGTGCCACCCATTTGCACAGCACCGGGCTCTTGTCATGCACGTGTCTCTCCAGCCATTCACAACAAATCAGCCCCCCCAATCCCTCCCAGACAAACATCAGAGCCCGGTGACAGTGGAGTGGATGGAGGGAATCACTTTAAAGGATTATCACTGTCATCTGTTTGGATTACAGGGAGAGCCTACCTTCCCATCTGTCACCTTCAAGATGAGGTCAGCACGCTGTCCTTACATGTTGGAGGCCTTTGTTCATTTATTTAGATTAAAAACACGACTCTGTGGTGCTGAACAGGAGCAGTGTCAGTGTCTGGATTGAGCTACTCTTCTTTGTTAGCTTTACCTCTCACGTACTTCAAATCTCAACCTGATTTTTGTGAGCTCAGACAGTATTATTTGGATGTACAGTGCTAGACTGATCAATACCTCTTTTTAATTATGTACATGTTATGAAAGGTTAATAAAGTGTAATATCTTCATGGTTGATGAAGCTAATTTTTTACGCTCCGCAGCCCTTTTCCATCAGATAAAAGGTCAAACTTTCTGAATCTGAAGAGTCTTTATTATAAATGATAGACATAAAGCAGCCATATGAGGCAACCTGGTAACCTATAGAGCAATGACATTATTAATGGCTTATTAAAAAAAGCACTGCTCATTTTAAACAGTGTTCACCTTTGCTTCATTTCTCTTTTTTTACTGCCTTGTGAAGCACGTTGTAACATGTTTTGAATACTGCTTAAAGTAGCTTGTTATCTTATTTACTTATCAATCTATTTAGTATTTCTTACTCAATACGGTATTTTTTTTAGTATGTATATTTTTGTATTTGTTGCCGTTATATTTTCACATCATGTAAACCACCACCTTATATTTAATGTGGCTTACTATTATTATTGTATTGAAATTTATTGAGATGTATTTGATTACTTACTTTGAGATGGATTGATGGTGTGAACACAATTGACTTGAAATAATTAGTCGTTTTATATTCAATAACTCTAAAGATCAATTGAAGCGCTTCAGAAATCACAATGGTTTTTCTGTTAACACTGGTGGATGTTGGTATTTCTGCACTGGCTTAATAGAGTTCATAGTTCACCCCGCATCTTATTTAGCTGTATAACACTGAGGAGGAGGAGGAGGAGGAGGAGGAGGATGGTGATGGAGGTGTGACTGGGATTTCAAGGTTACTGTGAATATATGCAGAAGGAAACCATCTGAGGTTTCTGTTCACACCTACACACAGAGTAAGCCAACAAGCCTTGATAACCACCTACACAACGGCTGCACATTTACCTCTCTGCTTCTCTATCGTGTGCACATACACACACACACACACACACACACACACACACACACACACACACACACGCACACACACTTCCTCCTGTGATTAACAGTTGTCCTCTTATAATGCCTGCATGCCTGTTCTGGGCCAGTGGGACTCATTACCTGAGGTAAGTCTGCAGGCTGACCTCTTGCAAATGTTGCACCACTCGCCACTTAACTAAGCTGCCGTCGCTGCGCGGTGAGCCCACACTGCACTAACCCTATCTTACAAACGACATCCTTTGATTTATCTCCCTCTTTCCATCTCACCGCTCAACCCACTGTGTTCTCTTTATCTGCCTCTTTGTCCCTCTCCAGCTCCCTTTCAGCTGATGGAGCTTATTGTGGACAAATAGGCTTAGGAGCATCACTATAGCAACAGCGAATCGTAGAAAGCTACATAAGCACTTCATCAGGGCCCGTGATCCAATGGCTCCAGTTAGAGATGGTGCCCCCAACCTCCTGCAACAAGTAAAGGCAGGCCCGAGAGGCTCATGGGAGGAGGAGGAGGAGGAGGGAGGCGAGAGACAGAGAGAGAGAGAGAGAGAGAGAGAGAGAGAGAGAGAGAGGTGGAGATAATGCTGTGGGTCTGTGAGGGGACGGGAGAATCCATTTCTCTTCCCTCTCTCTGCGTTTGCCAGTCTTGTCTCTTCAGCATCCATCTGTCCTTCTGATGTCTGGCAACTTTTTACTGCTTTTCATCGATTTTGTTTCTGGTGGAGTCTAAGAAAACTTTCAAGAGACTAAGAGGTAAGAAAACTGTTCATTCTCAATTGTGCTTTGGAGTAAACAGCAACAAATTGGACCAAGAGATGTGATGTTTCAACATATTCATGTTAGAATCTGTCAAAAGCAGCCAGCAGTCCAAACATGGATACATGTTAGTTGTAAAACTGAACAGTGGGGATGTGAAGAGAGAGAAAGAAAATTCAGTTTTCTATAATTCCCAGGAAATAAGTCAAATTTGAATGTACCAAAAGCTGGTGAACATGAGAGAAAACACTGCTGAGCTACATCTACTATAGAGCTGCAACCATTAGTCGATCAACTATTATAATAATCATTTAAGCAAAAACAGGGTTCTTGCCCTTGCTTTATAGTAATTGAATATTTTGGGTTGTTTTGACACTTGAAGATATTGGGCTCTCAATTGTGATGGACATGTTTCCATTGTTTTCTGTTCATCTGATTATTCAGTAATGAAAATATTCATTCGTGGCGCCCTAGTCGTGTTTATTTCTTATGTAAAAACTTCAGTAAAACAATATTTAGACACACAGGACAGTCACTGGTCTATGTGAACAAGTGTTTGAAAGACTATATTTGTCTGCATGTGAGTGACTCCATGTTGAAGGGCTAGTCAGCTCACTGAAGCTGTTGGGTCCAGAAGTTAGAGCAGGTAACGGCTTCAACTAATCTCACTTTGTGAAAGCTTTTTTGATGCACATGTTTACAGCCCCATTACAGTGCAGCAGAGAGGTATGAAGCTGTCGTTTGGAGGACAACCTCAGCACCTCAACAGATTAACTCAAGATTAAGAGAGTTACAAAACTAAATGGAGACCTGATAAAAGAATGAAGAGATTACCTACCACATGTGTAAAGGTACAACATGAAGGTAATGTGTACTTCTGCTGAAATACACAGTTTAACTGATTAATTGGTTGTTAAAAAAAAAAAAAATCCCAGAGCCCAGGGTGACATCTTAAAATGTCTTGTTTTGTTTGATAGTCCAAAACCCAAAGATATTCAGTGTGCAACCTTGTATGACAAGGACAAGCAGCAAAAAGCTGGAACGAGAGAATGTTTAACATTCGTTCTTCTGTTACGTTATTGTACTTTCATCTCAAAAATAAATGCAAACAAAAGACTGCCTATTGAGTTGCATACAGCATCAGTGGGAGCGGTTATGGCACCTGTAGAACAAAGAGCCATGTGGATGGGGGAGACGGGGGAGGTTTTGTCCAGATGTTGAAACAGCGTTCAGATGTGGTGATATAAATGATGCCAGATTATGCAACAGACACCATGCTGCCTCTTTCCTATGTGGTAAAAACCTTGAAAAGCAAACACTCATTAAACTGAACTCCATCCATTAAATACTCATTACAGCAGAAACGGCTGCAACTCTGTACTGCTTGTTTTGTTTTATTGGTTTCACCTTTCAAGCTCTCCAAAGTACAGACAGGTCAATTACTGCACAACCTTTCCAAAATGTCTCATTGTCAACTCATCAGCAAATCTAATACAGCCCTATAACATATTGAAAAAAAACCCCATCAGTATGAATTCTTCTTTTATTCTCCAGTCACCTTGAAACAAATTAATCTGAGCAAATATTTCAACAGCTTTGGGGTATTTTTTGTGTCATCTCTAATCATCGGGGGCTGTGAAGGAGGACAAGGCCATGGCCTCCTGGTTCAGCTGGAATGAGCCGTATCACCGGAGCCCACAGCGGGACCCGGCCGATGTGGTCACCGACACCCTGATGCTGGAGTTCAGCTGGCAGCTGAAGGAGGCAGAGAGGCAGCAGAGAGAGAGGGAGAACGAGTACCAGCGCCTCAAAACCGGAGTGGACTACAGCTGGCTGGCCAACACGCCTCGGCCCTCCTACAACCTCAGCACCGGGGAGAGGATCGGCCTGGAGGACCTCTGCTCCAAGGTGCCGCCGCCTTACTGCGGCCAGGTCATACTGAAGTAAGGAAACACAAACACTATAGCTTAGTGAATATTACATTCATGTAATGACCATATAAGTCCACGTTTAGGAATAATATAATTATGGCCAACATCTAATAGAGGAAATATCAGATCCAGATCACCTCCAAAACTGAATTAGCTCCAAATTCAAAATCAAATCATTTAAAGTCAGCTGGCCGACATCTCTGTTGTCCGTCACATGACTCTGTAATGCTTTGGTGTCTTTGTCCTTTAATCTGCAGCAGAGAGAGCCTGAGCTTGTTGGAGCATCTGTTCACAGAAAGCTGCTGAGGTCTCCGGTGTCTTGTTAGAGGTCCACAGTTTTTTGGGAAGCAGTTTGGCTGCTGGTGTTAATGTGAGGTGCTAAACGCTTCACGACGCTGGACAACACACACACACACACACACACATTTTAATTAGCTGCTCAGAGGAGGAGCCCTACGTTGAAGATACTTCTGGGTTTTCCCAAATGCTATACTGTATCTACATTATATTGTATCATTTAAATAGATCACATGACTTCAAACCACTGGAGATCAGTAAAAACAAGGTTTTCAGGGGCTGTTAAATGATTTTATACACCAAAATCTGTTATCGGTGCTTCTTGAGAAGGACTGCTTCTGCATTTGTGAAAACATATTGTATGAAGCAAAGTCTGATAAATTGCCTCAAATTATGTCATTTGTCGGTTGGGTCCAAACATTTGAAAATGAAAAGAAATCTGTGAGTGTGGAGTTAGAAAGAAGTGAGCTTACCTGAAGTTTACCAGAATGAATTGGCATCAGTTGAGTTGCATTGTGGTAATGTATGCACCAGGTTTAAGCAAGAAGGAAGAATTGCTGTAAATTTTAAAAAAAAGTCAATATCTCTGGTTCGGTTGCATTCATTTGATCAAATTGTCCATCCACCGTGAGTCCGACAATGTTGTATGAGAGCGGTGCAGTACTCTAGACTGTTCTTCCAGTATGACAGAAAACACACAGCGTAAACTTGATCTTTGCTCCTCTCAGGTTCAGGGAGGTTCTGCAGGCCAATGAGCCCGAGGTGCAGGAGGTGTCCGACCTGTTTCGCTCCGTCCTCCTGGAGACTCTGGACCACCTGAAGGAGGAGCGGGAGACGCAGCGGCTCGCCCACCAGTGGAACAACAAACGTGCCATGAGCATGTCCCTCATGAACTTCAGGTCCCGGATCAAGATCAACCCGTTTGGAAGCACAGTTGGCCTGACCTCCGCTGTGACTGACGAGGCCGGGTTGAGTGACCTCAAGACCGTGTCAGAGGATGTGGAGAGAGGCATGGGGGGGTCACAGAGGGTGTGGAGCATGCCTGACTTCAGATACAAAGGAACCAGCAGCAGCAAGGTTGCCTGATGTGGGGCGATCACGGCACAGGACCCGAAGACACGGAATGTCCACTTTGCACCAGACGAGGCAGGATGAATCGTCCTCTTGTCAGTATGACACCAATCAGCATCGGTCCATTTACTGATTTACCTGTTCACCTAAATGGGCAATGTAAGGTGTTTTTTTTGTGGAACTGAAACAGTTACAATTTAGTGTAAGAGTATCGCCTCTGGCAGTGATGCGTCTTATATTTTGTAGACATTGCTATCTAAGCATTGAGGGCTATTTACTGTTGGCTTTAGAGGCTTTCTTGACTCCTAAATATTGCAGGAACACATGAAATATGTTGGTGTTGTCTTGTCACACAACACAAAATAGCTGCAAAGGTGAATGGTCTTTTATGACAGTACGCATGTATGTACGTACATATATATATATAAAAATTGTATGTACAAGTTATTGGTGATAGTCGACGTCATTCAGAGGGTGAATCATGCTCCTCTTCTACATACAGCACACAAAGACTCAGCACAATAATTCATCATTCAATGTCAACAAACTGAAAGCGTTCCTTCTGTTCTTCATTGAAAGAAGGCGTCAAAAAGACCTTTTTGAGAGCAGAAAACAAACCTCCCGGTAGTTAATTGTGTTTTTTTTTCTGTTTGTCACATCACCCTGCAGGTTTACTCCATATACAGCTCTCAAGTGGATTGATTTATTTCAATTTAATAAAATGACTGATGCTGAAACAATATCCATGACAGAATTTGGGGGAATGAATGTTCTGAATAAGACATACAGTTACCATCAGAGTTGATTCCCATATCATTTGAAAGAAGATGTACACATTTATCTATCAGTACACGCTGATAACACTCCGGCTCTCACATTTACTGTGGAAACATAACGGTTAGGTATCTACAGAAAAATAATAATAATGATGGGCAATCTTACATTAGTAGTACGGTTGACATGAATGATTGACAGAGCCAGCAGGTAAACAATAGCTTGAACTTTAAAGGAGAATCAATTTTACATATCAAGGTCTGTTTAAGGGGCTGAGGAGCACTACTGCACACGTGACAGTAAACGTGTCTTTCAAAAACCTGTGGGTGGGGAGTTAAGATAGAAATTAGTCTACCAGACCTCTGGGGCTCATCAAGTTGCATTTTGGGTAGTGTAGGCGGCTGGTTTTGAAGAAGAATGCATGAAATAAAAAGGATGAAAGAAGAGAATGTCTCTGGTCCACTGTGAGTCCCACACTGTTATAGGAATAAAATGCTCAAACGGTGGAGAACACTCTTCAAGGAGTCACCGTACGTTCAAATCACAAACAAAGTTGAGAAGCTGATCGCCGGCAGTCACTGGCCTTCATCTGATGTAGTTAATTACAGACACAATATTTGATGACACTGCTCACCATAAACACTTCTCATATCACAAAAGCTATCAGACCAAGCTGTAGAATCCGCCACCCGGACAGTGCCATGGTGAAAATCAAGCCGGCGGTCTGAACACATTTCCATCAGTCCCATCAGGCTCGGTGCTGCCTGTGTGTGTGTGTGTGTGTGTGTGTGTCAATGCAAGTTGTATTCATCATCTCTTTCTCAGAAAACTCTTCATCGTTGTTCTCCGGGAAAGCCGAGTTGTTGTTTCCTGAGTTCTGCCGACGTGTCTGAGCACTTTCCCTGCCGTCCACAGCGGCATCACACGGTGGAGTTCAGGAACTCAAGAAGTTCTGCCCGATTTTTATCCTGCTGTAACAAAAGAAAATTTCAAATAACAATCCATCCACACACTGTATAGATACACTTGGTTGCCTACTTGACAGCAAAAATGTGAGATTACCTGTTTGTCTTTCTTTGACTTCTTTACTTTCATCTTTATCTTCTTCCCAGAAATCATGCTGTACTTGCCTTTTTTCTTGTCCTTCAAGTACTGAAAGAAGACAAATGTAAGTGTAGAGGGCTAGATTACAACAGAATAAAGCTGGTTGACACAATGACATAGCCTGTGATTACAAATGTCACTATGTGCATATCATACTAGCACATGTTGGGGGGCTGGCAAAAAACAAAAATGTTCTACCATGGTCCCCTCATTGGGATTCCATTAAATGGCATCGAGATAAAAAGACTTGTGTGATTTGATGTATTTCGGAGCATGTTTACAACTTATCGAGGTGGACTTGATTTTAGAGCTCAGTGGAATCCAATGAATGGAAGTCAATTAGAAAATGGGGTCAATGTAATGTAGGGACTGTCCAGAATAATGTGCAGAATGCATTTTCTGACAAATGTATTTCTGGTCATTTTTTTGTCTAATGGGACGTTAGCCTACCTTGGAGATTTGTACAGGTCCCGTGTTTTCCTCTCCTCCTTTCACTTTCTTTTCTTTTTTACGTTTGTGTCGTTTTTCTTTCTTCCCTTTCGGCTGCAGGGCACAAAATAAGTTGGACTCAGTTATGTTCCATTATTACACAATTCAGTCACTTTTACTGAAACTTGTAGTCGATTATAAACACACGAGATAAAGATGCACAACATTACTTTTTTGTGTTGTTTCTCCTTTTTCCTTTTCTTAGACTGCTTTCTGGATTTACTGTCTGAGTCTAAAAACATCAGAACACATTGTGTCAATTTATTGATATTTGTGCTGCTATGATGATAAAAATCACATGCTATGTGGATGAACAAAATACAACATTCATAAGAAAACATCTGACATCAGATGAATTGCAACGCAGACTTTAAAGATACACTTACCGCTACTGCTAGAGCTACTCCGACTGCGGCTGGATGAGTTTGATGAGCCCGACGAAGAGGAAGAGGACGACGAGGATGAAGACGACGAGGAAGATGACCTAGAAGAGGATGACGAGGAAGACCTACTAGGACTACGTTTCCGCTTGGTTTTTTCTCGACCTGAACAAACAGAAGACAGAAATACAAAGATAAACTTGAGTAACTGCACAGAAGACGACAATTGATTCTTATTAAGAGCAAGAAATAAGACCTGTGACCTGATGCACTGATGATATTATGCTCTTTGGGATGCCATTCTCCCTTGCTTCCACTATACAAGTATAATAGTAATACAACTTTGCAACCAGGTTAGAGAGTGACGTTTAGAAGACAAGACTAAAAAGGACTGAAGCGGTCTGAAAACACTTCCAACAACGTTTCACTTGAAAGTGAGCAAAACAACAGTGGATGCGACTGTGAAGGCATTGTTGTCGTGACGGTGAGTTTCATAACTATCTGTCACATCTAGAAGCGGTCTTACCTGAACTCGTTGATCTCTTCCTCTCATCTGTTCTGGAGCTCGAGCTGGACACCCTCGTCTCCGCTTTCGTTGACTAGAAACAAAGACAAACATTTAAACCAAATTGTATTCGGCAATTTTTCATTGAAATCTGGTCTGAGCTCCGGGGGAAGACATCGCTAACACCGACTAACCTGATGAAGTTACACATGGCCAAAGCTACCTAACCGTTCAGAACAGGTAAACCATTGCATGTAATCGGGGCTTTGTTGAGACAATTCTGATAACATACTCGTAAAATATTAACGCTTACCTTAATTGTCCTTTCACTTGTGCTTAACAAGGCTACGTTTACTAAGCTAAAGCTAAAATGCGCTTTAAGCTGCTAACGTTGAATGATCTAATGCTGGTGAAGGAAGTTCTGTACTCACCATGGCGACAGCAGAACGCCGTTAATTTATCACATATATACACTGACACTTTAACAGCTGAAAGAAGAGTAAGATTTATGTTTATTCGCGATTATCTCTCGTAAAATAGCATTAGCCAGCGCTCTTAGGAGACATTTTGTATCCCATGATGCACCGCGGGAAGTACGTTCAAAACAACGGAGCGAAAACTGACGTCCGCCAGTTAGCGCAGCAGCGGCACCAGAGCCGGTTACAGTGCTGCTGTGTACTGTGACTTAAAGCTGTTAATTAAAAGATAGAATACCTTTTATTCTACTTTAGGACTTTTAATCTTTAACTGTCTCCAAGCATCCACCAACCACTTGGGAAGAAGTTTGATTAGTTAACGTTATCTGCCATGTTTCCTCACTTCCTAGTAAACTGACGTTACAGTCAATGTTTATTATGATAGGCAATGTTACACCAAACTACACTAAAATGAATGCAGAATAATACTGCAGCTTTGCAATAAATATAACCTTCGTTATACGTATGATGCTAATTAGTAGAGCCTGACGCAAAGAAGGTTTCTAATATATCAATATTTTACTGTTTGAAAGCTGATAATCATGTATCGACCAGTGTTTGTATTTTAAACACAAACAGATAAAATGATAAGCAAACTTTTATTATAAAGCTCTTTGAAATTTGTAGTATTGTGACAAAGATGTCGTACATTTTACAGTTTAAAGATAAACGTATCAGAAAGCATATCATAATTTGATACACCAGCATATATATATATATATATACGTGTTGGTCGAGTAGACAAATTTGGACAAATAACAATTTTGTCCAGCTGGTGGTGCTAGAGGAAAAGTCAGGGGATCACAAAAATGATTCATCCTGAGGGGACATGAATGTCTGAACCAAATTTCTTGACAACTAATCCACTAGTTCATGAGATATTTCAGCGTGCGATGTTACAGTCAAATGTAAGGAAGTTATTAGACTGTAATATTTCCACAAATATCTGCATGATTACGACCACAAAACACAGAAACACTGGTATTGTACAAAACCATATTTATTATGACAGTATTAGTATATTATACAAATATGAGCACATCCACACTGTATAAAAATACAAAATCTTGATGTGTTCAGGACATACCAAACCAAAATATTGATAAACACTACCATATGTGTGTAGTCAGTTCCATCTAGCCCTGCAGTCCATGTTTAATGTTAAACACAAGAAATATGTCCTTCATCACTCAGACACCATGCAGCTTTGTTGCAAGTGCCACAGTTCAAAACTAAACTAAACTAACTAAAATAAAATAAAAGAATCCAACAGTAACTCAGCTATAGAGAAAATGTGTGAAAAATGATATAAAGTTTATTATTTGTCACGTTTCCATCTTCTATAAATAATAGCCCTTTCTTATTTATCAGTATGTAAGTTCCTGTTGAATTATTTGAAGGCTTCTGAAAATATTCAGTACCCGTTGCTCCTTCTTTTAACCTTGCAGGACTTCAATAAAACTGACCTTGTCAATTCATCTAAAAGCTAAACTGTACATGTAACAATACATGGGGTATACTTTGAAAGCAGACAAAAAATAACTTTAGCTTGACCAGTGACAGCCAATCTAATGCTAAATGCATTCATCGTTTTTGCATTTAAGAAATTGTTCAGCTGCCCTCGGACGAATAGAAAATAATTGTAAGCAGTGGGAGATAAGCAACACAAAGGTTCATTAGTTACAACATATCATGCGACTATCCCTGCCCATGTCAGAGCCTCGCTGCTGGTTTCACACAGTCTGACTCTGACTCGTTACAGAAGGACCATGGGCTCCAGTGAGGTGATGTGAAGCAGCAGATCAAAGCAGGTTTAACGCCTCAGCTGAAATACAAATGTGAGGTGTATGGAAATATAAAAGAATATGTGAAGAAAAAATATCATACTATACTAATATCTTAAAACATGCTTTAATGCTTCATTTTATTATATAAAAATGACATAAAGGAGTGGGAATAGTTGTGTATCAGCAGTGAATCTATGGCGTGACCCACTGTGTTTTTTGATTTAATCACAATTTTCAGTGTAAAAAATCGCTAAAGGTCCTTGTTTCAAATTCTTGAAAGTGTTTTTCTTTATGTAAATGTTATTAACCAAATCTTTGTGTTAACAATTTTTAAAAATGACTCATGTGTTTTGGAGACTCTATTGTGAAACCTTCATTGCCGACCCTAATGTCAAATTTAAACTGTACTTTGATGGAAAAACGCTGCTGTAGACATCTTTGCTCACAAAACAGTTTCAAAATTGACGTGTGTTGGTTAGTACAGCAAATCGTCTATTTGTAAAAAAAGAAATCTTGACAAATTGATTTGAGCAGACATGGTGTAGCAGATTAAAAGTCCTTTACTTCCTAGTTTTCAAGCTCAATGGATGGTGAGCAGCTATTTAAAGCTCTGCTTTGTTCTTTGAGTGATCGGCGTGAGTCAAGCTCTCCTCATTCTCCTCCTCCTCCTCAGGAACCTGGAAAACATGTCGTCCAAATTATTTGTCCGTAGCATAATGAAAGAGACATACATAAGACATGGGTGAACGGCATGTGGACCTCGAACAAGTATTAGCTTGTATGCTGTACCAGCTGGGTGGAGTTTACCAGCAGAAGATAAAACAAGCAGTACCAGAGCGTTAAAGTCTAATCTAATGAAATCTTGATTGTAATGATCCCAAAACCACAAATATAATAACTTAAAAAAAATACTGGGCTGCTGCTTCTATTACTTGTGATCCTCGACAGCCAGGAGCGAGAGATAATATTGATGAGAAATGGGATTTCTTACCTCCCAGTATATAGAGTCATCGAAGCAGTTCTGGTCCGGAGGCTGGCCCCAGAACGGCAACTTCATTATTAAACCTGGAAGAAGAAAAGGCATCGTTTGATTGCTCAGGCTTTTTAAAACAATCAAAAAGAGGATTGATAAATAAGGAAGGCCTTTTCCGTTGTTGCTTAGGAATTTGACTGTTCTGTCACATTGATGGCCTCGTGTTTCATCTCCACCCACCTGTAATGGCACCTCCAACCAGAGCGAACCCGAGGGATGAAGCCAAGGCAGCAGCTTGCATGGCAGCGTCACCTCTGAGGGGGCGGAGGAGGGAAGAGGGGAATGTAAGAGCTGACATTTAACTAAAGCATACCATTACTTCAAAGCTACAATACTGTTATGTGTGCTTGTTAAGGCTGGGTGATAATTTAATATGATCATTTTATCATATTAGATTAGATATCGTGATACACAATTGCGACGTCTAAATTGATAATAACAAGCCCCAGTGTGATCATTC